CCCCCCCTCAAAAAAAAAAGGTTGACAAATGCGCTTGAAAAGCATAAAAACAAAATAAAATAACAGAAAAAAGGAGTGATGAATGCTTAAAATATAACCAAAAGAGGCTGATGGATGCTTAAAAAAAAATTACATAACAAAAAAAAAAGGTTGATGGATACTTAAAAAAGGATGATGGATGCTAAAAAGTTTAAAAAAAAATCAAATTAAAAAAGAATTGGTAACTTAAAAAAAAAAGTTGATGGATGCCTAAAAAATAAAATAAAAAATAGAATATACAAAACAAAGGGTTAATGGATAGGAAAGGCTTAAAGAAATAAAAAAAACAAACAAAAAAAGGTTGATAGATACTTAAAAAAAAAAAGAAACAGACAGCCTTTCTATAAAAGTTATCACTGTGATTGAAGCTCCTATTTTATACATACATGTCATATACATGTTACAATAAATGTTTCAATTCCATGCATTAGCGAGGTATAACATGTAATGACACCAGCACATCATTATGTCACCTCTCTGATCACTGACCGAGGGATCCTTGCACCTTGGAGACTGATGAACATTATGTCACCCCATCTATGTCACCCCCTCTGATCACTGACCGAGGGATCCTTGCACCTAGGATACTGATGAACATTATGTCACCCCCTCGGTCACCCCATCTATGTCACCCCCTCTGATCACTGACCGAGGGATCCTTGCACCTCGGAGACTGATGAACATTATGCCACCCCATCTATGTCACCCCCTCTGATCACTGACTGAGGGATCCTTGCACCTCGGAGACTGATGAACATTATGCCACCCCATCTATGTCTCCCCTCCGATCACTGACTGAGGGATCCTTGCACCTTGGAGTCTGATGAACATTATGTCACTCCTCTGTGTCACCCCATCTATGTCACCCCTCCGATCACTGACCGAGGGATCCTTGCACCTAGGAGACTGATGAACATTATGTCACCCCCTCCGATCACTGACCGAGGGATCCTTGCACCTAGGAGACTGATGAACATTATGTCACCCCCTCCGATCACTGACCGAGGGATCCTTGCACCTAGGAGACTGATGAACATTATGTCACCCCCTCCGATCACTGACCGAGGGATCCTTGCACCTTGGAGACTGATGAAGCTTCATATTATATTCCTTGTTGTAAGTGCCTCGGCTACCGATGGAGCCAACACAGTGCAAAGTATTCACATGCAGTACATGTCACCTCAGAATAAAAAAATAAAATCAAATATCAAACCCCCAATCTACAATAAAAGCAAACAGAACATATATATAAAAATATATATCTATTTTTTTTTCTTAATGTACCGTACCTGACATGCAAACGATGAAATTGACTTGTAGGAAAAACACCACCTCCCAAACAATTTCCATCCTACGATTTTCATACCAACTGCATCACTCAACGGAACGATCAATAGAACACTTCCCAGCGGCAAGGTCCCTCTCTGCCGGAGCGTATTCCCCAAATATGTTTACTCATGTCCAAAAAACACACGCACAAAAAAAAAATGTTTTTTTTTGTTTTTTTTTAAATCCAACAGAGGGACCTCAACTCGATCCTGTTCTCTCCATCATCCGGGAAAAAAATGAATAATAAAATAACAAAAAAATAAATAATTAATAAATAAATAAACAAAAAAAAATGAATAAAAAATCCAAATCTATAAAAAAAAAATCAGGATATCTCCAGAACGGGGGGAACGGGGGCAATACAATTAGGAGCAGGCCGGCCAGATGATGATCCGTGCAGTCAAGTTGATCCCCCAGTGATGGACGTTTTTTTTTTTAGTTTTATCCCTCCAGGACGGTCATGGTCATCCTTCGCTGTGAGAATAAATAAAAAAAATTATAAAAAAGGATAAAAAATACAGGAAATGGAAGAAATCAAAACACTTTGTGGAGAAAGGGAGAAAATAACACCAGTGTGATGTTATGTGACTGACTGCAGCAAGATAGCAGTGCAAAGGGGGGTTGAATTTGGACGGTGCGTCTCCTCTTTCTGGACACCAGGGGGCGCTGAAGCATCATATAAAACCCCCCATAGCACCCCCCTATACCAGAGCAGCTCATGCTATAGAATTCAAGGGTTCCTCCATTCTTCTATACAGACCACTGTAGGACCCCACGGTGCATATGAAATACATTCTTGGACGTGAGCGCGCACTTGGCATTTAAAGGCATTTTTTTTTTTTTTATAAGCAAAGCTTTGCATTTTTTTTTTGCCATTTGCAATAAGCTGTTTGCTGGCTGGCATATGGAGTTGGATCTGCCAAGCTTTGCAGAAAGGGGGTGGGGGGGGGATAAAAATATAAAATAAACTCCTGTACCTACCAGGTAATCCGGACCGGCGCTGTCCGAGGTGCGCTCAGTTGCGCAGGTTGGGCTTTGAGGGAGGTGGTGCATGAAAGGGGGGTGTTGGATCACATGCAGTTCACTCTACTTTTGGGACATCTGCTTGGCTTCGAGGCTGCGAAGAAGGGCAGGAGCACGGTCCGGCTGCTGGTGTCTAAGGAGGAGATTAACGCGGAGAGGTGTCGCTCATGCGCGCCAGCTAGGAGACTGAGAACGCGCCCTGGTTGGGGAGGAAGCGCTCTCGTCTGCAGCAGGTAGGGCGCTGCGAGTCGGTACCGGGATTCTTCACCAGATCAGATCAGCGCCGGCAATTCAGCGTTTGCACCCTCTGCGCTCCACTCCGACGCGTCCAGCAGCTGCAATGACAGCCAGCGCCGGCAATCCAGCCTTTGCGCCCCGCAGCGCAGTTCTGCACTTGCTTTCCTGGGGTCGGAAAGATCATCAGCATTCAAGCGTTTCTCCGTGCCAAGCTTTCCCAGGCTAGTGTCCCATGCCAAGCTGTCCCAGGCTAGTGTTCAGTGCCAAGCTTTCCCAGGCTAGTGTCCCATGCCAAACTTTCCCAGGCTAGTGCTCTGTGCCAAGCTTTCCCAGGCTAGTGTTCCGTGCCAAGCTGTCCCAGGCTAGTGTTCCGTGCCAAGCTGTCCAAGGCTAGTGTTCCGTGCCAAGCGTTCCCAGGCTAGTGTTCTGTGCCAAGCTTTCCCAGGCTAGTGTTCCGTGCCAAGCATTCCCAGGCTAGTGCACCGTGCCAAGCTTTCCCAGGCTAGTGCACCGTGCCAAGCTTTCCCAGGCTAGTGTTCCATGCCAAGCTGTCCCAGGCTACTGCTCCGTGGCAAGCTGTCCCAGGCCAGTGTAGTGTTCAGTGCCAAGCTTTCCCAGGCTAGTGTCCCATGCCAAACTTTCCCAGGCTAGTGCTCTGTGCCAAGCTTTCCCAGGCTAGTGTTCCGTGCCAAGCTGTCCCAGGCTAGTGTTCCGTGCCAAGCTGTCCAAGGCTAGTGTTCCGTGCCAAGCGTTCCCAGGCTAGTGTTCTGTGCCAAGCTTTCCCAGGCTAGTGTTCCGTGCCAAGCATTCCCAGGCTAGTGCACCGTGCCAAGCTTTCCCAGGCTAGTGCACCGTGCCAAGCTTTCCCAGGCTAGTGCACCGTGCCAAGCTTTCCCAGGCAAGTGTCCCGTGCCAAGCTGTCCCAGGCTTATGTTCAGTGCCAAGGTGTTCCAGGCTAGTGCTCCGTGCCAAGCTATCCCAGGCTAGTGTTACATTCCAAGCTGTTCCAGGCTACTGCTCCGTGCCAAGCTGTCCCAGGCCAGTGCTCCGTGCCAAGATGTCCCAGGCTAGTACAGTGCCAAGATATCACAGGCTAGTGCAGTGCCAACCTGTCCCAGGCTAGTGTTCCGTGCCAAGCTGTCCCAGGCTAGTGCTCCGTGCCAAGATGTCCCAGGCTAGTGTTCCGTGCCAAGCTGTCCCAGGCTAGTGCTTCGTGCCAAGATGTCCCTGGCTAGTGCTCCGTGCCAAACTGTCCCAGGCTAGTGTTCCGTGACAAGATGTCCCATGCTAGTGCTCCGTGCCAAGATGTGCCAGGCTAGTGCTCAGTGCCAAGCTGTCCCAGGTTAGTGTTCCGTGCCAAGCTGTCCCAGGTTAGTGTTCCGTGCCAAGCTGTCCCGGTTATGCTGGCAGGCTGTGACAGTCAGTTAGCAGTTGCCTAATGCATGCAGCCAGCAGCAAACTCCCATTCAAGAAGAAAATAAATGTCTTGTCACATGGGGGGGTCTTTGCTGGATGCAATGTGGACGGTGCACAGAAAATGCACTGACACTCTGCCAGTTTCTACTGATTGCCAGCCAGCACTGAAAGCAGCACCCCCTCCCCCTCCCAGTCCATCCACTCTCATCACAGCCGTTCACCTCTCCCTGAACATTATTCCCGTTCCCTAGAGTTCTCGCCTCCTGTGCGTTTCATGCACGCTATGGATGAGCGCAGTCATTTCGTCATACTTGATTTGGACGCCAAACGGACGATTTTTAGCATCAGCGAGATTTCATTTCCCCCAAGTGGAAGCTGGCGGGTTTTGCTCACTAAGCTCTCAGGGTAAAAATTGTTTTAAAAGTTGCTTTTTTTGTTTGTTTTCGGAGGGCGTATTTAGGGTCATGCGGATGGAACGGGGGACCGCGGTGCTCTGTTGCTCCACCGCAGGCTTGCGGTAGGAAAAGGTTCACAGGGATGAACGGACGCCATTGCGCCTACCGAGCTATGGTGGGGCGAGAGAGCAACGCGGTTTTATTCCATTGGACCTTGCGCGTCACAAGCCGGCATCTCCCGGTGCTTTGCGGTGGGTAGTGATGGCTCCATTGCGGTAGCAAAGTCTTTGTAAGTTTTTTCTCCATTTTTATTTTTGTTTTTTTCCCCTCTTTTTTAATCATTATATGTACACTGCCGCTTTAAATTTATTTATTTTTCTTTAATTTTATTTTTGTGTTTTTTTCCCCTTTTTTTTTCTTTTTTTAATCATTATTTGTGCACTGCCGCTTAAAATTTGTATTTTATTTTCATTCTCCATTTTGATTTTTGTGGGCTTTTTTCCCTTTTTTATTCATTTATTTGTGCACTGCTGCTTTACATTTTTATATTATTTATTTTCCTTCATTTTGATTTTTTGTGTCTTTTCCATTTTTTTTCTTTTTTTAATCATTATTTGTGCACCAGTTACTTTAAAGTTTTATTTTTTTTATTATTTAGTTTTTTTTCTAAATTTTTTTGTGTTTTTCCCTCTTTTTGTAATCATTATTTCTGCACTGCCGCTTTAAATTTTTATTTTAGTATTTTCTCCATTGTTAAAAATACATGTTCATTTCAAAGGAGCGTCTGTTATCCCGCAGGAGCCCTGTCTTTCATGCTAATTAGCACCCTAATTTTAGATGCTATACTCATCTGATCCTCGGTTCCGTGGTGGTGTGGGCTTTCTTGGCTGTGGAATGTCCCTCTGTGTCATCACATCTAATGCAAGTCAATGGACCTGCATAAGAAGTGATGACGTCACTGATCCATAGACAGCCAGGACCCGGGGCAGGAGAGGCTGCGTTGACCGGTCCAGCAGCCAGGCAGGAAACTATTTTATTCCATCTCCTAGAGAAAAACAAGCACTTAACCCTGGCAGGTTTTCTGATACCTGTGTCCTTTTAGGGAGGGATTTCCCTTTATTCCCTTTCTCAAAGATGCAACAGGAAGTGAGAGAAAATCTCCCCAATGTGAGAGTCCTCACTGGAATAGGTGTCCCCCTTGAATGATTTCTGTGACAGAGTCTTCTGATGGTGACTACACAAAGTTCCCACTTCCACACACATCATGCAGGCATAGGCATGCACATGGGGTGTGCCTGAGCACTCCCTAATAACCCCAAGCGCAACACTAAAACTGCAACAGCGGGCTTTGTGTTCTTAGTCACTAGGTGGAGAGATCACAAAGATCTCAATGTGACCAGCTCAGCGATACAGAGCGCAGCAGCACTTGCCACTTACATTCCTCACACAACAGTTGCAGTCCTCGGTGCCTGGGAAGCTGCAGGGGAACATGGCCACCTGCCAGTCTCCCTGCTTCCATACCACACAACTGCTGGAAGAGGTAAGGGACAGAGATATGGGAATCCGGGATGTATTTTATTTCCTTTCTTCGGTGTCCAGATCTCCATCTCGTCCAGCTTTCTTAAATAGGATGTTCAGCCCCCCCTGTGTTGTTTTGTTTTGAATCCCCTCATCACACTCAATGGGCTCTCTGCAAAACACATACTCACACGTCCAACAAATGCTGCTGCAATCAGCCGGTCTGCTGCTGCGCACCAGGACCTG